TCTCTCTCTCTCTCTCTCTAATCGCTCCGCGCCCACCCGATATTGATATAAATGAATCACCGGGCGCTCCCTTCTCGACTCCTCGATCACCGAACGCCGAAATTTCGTGCGACTTCGTTCCCGAAGTTCGGTTGCGCGACGACGGCGACGACGGCGACGACGACGGCAGCGGTAACTCATTCGGCTCGCGATGTTCCCTTAAGTTTCGTCGCGAAGTTCAACGTTGATCCGCCCGCACCGCACATATATATATATATATACACACACACACGCCGCGCACGAAATTATATCAGGCCCGATTGTAGATTTCCGCAATGTTAATCAGACTCGAGTTTGTCTTTTCAACCTCGCAAAACTTGGCGTTTATGAGACGTTTCCTAATTGCTTTTAGATTTGCGTGTATACGCACACGTTGTGTTTCTTCGTTTCTACGCTCGAAGGTTACGCAAAGAAAATTCTCAAAATAACTTGTTTGTGGAAGATTTTTCCGATGCTATCGACAATCGATACGATATATTATCCCAGATCAACGAGTCGCAAGCGAGCAAAACCGATTGGTTAATCGCGGAAATTTCTCGCGCGAACGAGGTTTTAGTTTTTTTACTTCAAAAAAAAAAAAAATAAATAAAAATAATAGACAATCGGATAAGTGGAACCTTTCCTAATGCGAGAGACATTCTTTCGATATATCGTTGTCAAACCTGCGAGCTGACAAACTGGAACGGGGAATTACTTACGAGCCAACTGATGGTCGCAAGCGCGTGGACCTTGGTGTAAACAGACTAGTTTGTATTCTCGGAGCAACGTGCACGCGCGCTTTGAGCATTGACTTGTAAAACGAGACCAAACAGGGAGGTCTTCCCGCGGGACACGTCAAAGCGAGCCTTCCGTCGCTCCCGGTAATCTTTGGCTTAATGACACGACATTCGCGTCGTCTCACGAATTATCCTTAGAAATTCAAAGCGGGCCGCCAGTCTCACAAATTTAACTCCTTTCTCCCAAATATGTATATATACGTATTACATATACACGCGAGTTTAGTTCTTCGCAGTTTCTGTGCAATCTGGATCCTTTCAAACCAAAGTTCATTTTTAAACACAAAAAGTGTGTCTCTCTTTCTGACATATATAAACTACGTTTGACATACTTCCTTCGCGAATAGTATTATTCATAAAAAAAAAAACTATGATCTATCCCGTGTATCTCGGTCTTGTTCTGTTCGCATCGGCGTTTGGAGTTAGTTCACGTTCAAGTTTGTCTCAAATATTGAAGAATGTCAGCGTTTTGTAATTGAAAAACATGTCGATTCAAACATTACAACGTGTAATCTTGCGATTAATATATTTTTTCTATGTATATTCTCCTGACGCTGAAAATAGCTTGAAATAAAACATTGATACATCGCGAGATTTTTATTTATTGTTGTTTCTCTGCACATTTCTATCCCGGTATGAGTTTAGTCTCCGCGCGAACGAATGCGCCGCGTCTGACTTTTCGACTCGTGAATAAATAACAAAACGACAACAACTCGATCGGCATGACGATTTAAACTCGACAGTCGCGCGTCTTGAGAATCTCCTTGAGAGCAAGGATGCCGGCTCGCGTTGTTAAACCGTATGTAGGGATTATTAACCAGCCGCGGTGACATGCACTTCGTTGTTAACCGTGCGCTCGCGGAATGAAACGCGCGTTTCCACCGCTGCGAGCATCGTAGTTTAATAACAAGTTCTAATTAGAAGCTGTCATCGTGATAATGTTTCCGCTAAATCACGATATTGTAATTGGCTGTAAAGTGAGACGGGAGCGAGAGAACTCAAGAACGAGGCGCGATACGACCTTCTCTCTCTGTACGCGTCACTTCGTTCTCCCTCCCGTTTTCATTGGTGACAAATCGAATTTTGCGAGCGACGCGAGGAGTCGCTGATTGAAAATCAAAGGCCGCATTTCCGCCACCGAGATTTCCCACTGTTCGCAAACGCCGTGACGAAAACGGAAGGATTTGTTCAACGCGCAGAAAGTAAATCCCGTAGTAACACACTCGGATTAGAATTGATTTCGATTTCTGCATTGTAAATTTGTGAAGAAATCACCGATGGAAAATCGAGGACTGTATTATCCGCATTTAAAAATTGACTTTTTTTTCTTCTTCTTGCATTTTCGTCGTTTTTTTTCAGCGCGGATACGCGCGTCTATCGCGCGCTTGTGACACGTGAACACATTACGACAACGTTTTGCAATATTTACACTTCTCGTTCGAGACGAATTTTTACTCCGATGCAAACACACAAACGAAACGTTCCGCGAGATTGCATTCTCACGTCGAACACAATCGAGCATCAGCATCTTTCGATTCGCGCTCATTTGTCAATTTTAAAGTTAATATTGTCATTTGTTCGTTCATTTTGTTCCGTCCAATCGCGGCGACATCTGATCCGACACTTTTTAAGCAACCACGAGTTTGTAGTTTAAAGTGTTCACATTTTCTAAAAAAAAAAACTCAAACATATCTCACAAATCAGTCGAATTATTGTGTTGCACAAGAATTTCAAGTGCACACTACTTTTCATCCGGTCCATTTGTATATCTAATCTCTCGCTGTTAGGACGTCTAAAATAATCACGGAACAAAGAGAGATAATCGTATCTCTTCGTCGACCACGTCAGATTCAACATTGGTTTTCCGAATGTTCATCTTCGCTGTCATCGATATTTTTCACGAAAGAGAGTCTCTCTCTTCCATTTTAAAAACGCGTAAATTCGCACAACGACTTTGCCGTGCGCCGTAGTACCCCATTCCGCAGTCCGCGCGCACAAAATCGACTATCATATTTCCGCGATGCGACGAATTAAAAAAATTTGCTCCTTTCCCATTTTCGCGGATAAATTGAAACGCACGATACTGGTTCTCTCGGTAGAGAAGGGAAAAAAAAAGTAAAACGACTAAGTCCTCGATCATGTTCCGACGATTCTATGAATTTCAGAATTTGCAGTTCTCCACACACATTTTCTGCTTATTACAAACCTATACCGTTACCTAAACTATTCGTACACGTCACACGGTGAAACGTAAGAGAGTATATATGTTCGTACTTGGTCGCGGTAAAAAGGATCGAATCGATGATCGCGGCTTACGTAAACGAACAAAAAAAAATTTGATATTTTCTGGTGATTACATTCGTCGTTGTGAACTTTTTTTTTTAACACAACGTCCCCAAATATATGAATCAACATAAATTAATCACAGTTTTTGACCGACAAGAGCCGTCAACAGTTTGATAGATTTTTTGCTGATAAATTATCGATGTGCGCGTTAATTTTTAAGTCGCAGAAAGAAAATTGGCGAAAAAAAGTTCCCGTCACACAACGTCGATAGATTATTTTTCAACGACCCGATTTAACGGTTAAAACTGTTTAAAATCACCGTCATTTCGTCTATCGCCTTAAAACCGATTTGCAAAAATCCTATTTTTCGCACTTCTAGCGCATTTTTTTTGGCACGTAAATTGACACGCGCGTTTAACGCGCGGGTTCGTTGTTTGACGCGAACGTTTATAATCTCCGTTCAAAAGAACATGTTAAAACCCCGGTCGATCATGTTTGCACTATGGACTAAACGAAAATATAACGTGTTTTTCATGATTTTCTATGCGCGCCGTTACACCTGTCGTTATCTAAATCTATCGCGTATCGCGATCGGAATTAAATGAGCGCCCGTTTTCATTCTGCCGCGCGCAAAAAAAAAAGCCGTAAAATCAATAATCGTGTTTTCGCGATCGGACGAGTTCGAAAATTTGCTCTTTCGCAGCCTCGCCGCAAATTTATACACCGCGCGATCGCGGGGGAGAATAGTCGTCGCTTGTTATTCCGTTCGTCCATTTATTTCCGTGCGCCGACAACGCTCTCGTAATAATACGCGCGGCACACTTCATTCATCGCGATTATCCGACACCTTCGAGGTCTATAACAAATAATTGGAACGTCAAATCCGAGTTCCGCGATAAAAAAAAAAAAAGAAAAAAAGAAAAAAGCCGAAGGAAACATCCGCGGAAACTTGATCGTTGCACCCGCGTAAAATTTGTTTCGAAAACACGAAAATTTGTTTGCGCTACGTTTTCATTGCCGATTAAATTTTCACTTTTCCCCCCTTCTTCCCAATCACTGATTAAATCAATACAAATTAATTTATCATCCCAATCGTCATGCGTGATTGATTATGCACTGATTTTTGGAGCATGAAATTTACATCGCAAATGCGGATAAATAATAATTTCATCGCTGCGTCTCCGCGCGCGTGTCGATATAATAAAGAAGACACAAGATTTTCACCAATCAAGAACACGGAAATCGCTCGTTATTCGCACAATACATGTCACAATATAAAACCGAATTTCCTCGATTTTCCATCAGCGTGATTTTCAATCCCTTCCCCGCACTTTGTTTTCCAAAACACTGCGCCAAGTGATATCGGCGAAATATTTTTCACTTCGACTCGTCACCAAATTTTGATTTCCGCACACGCGAGTAGATCGAAAATCGCACTATGCAACACACATCGGGACGGTTGTACTTCCGCGGTCAAGCGGCTCGAAAAACGGTATCGTCGCTCCGAAACGAAAGCACCCGGAGTTGACGAACTAATTTCCTCCCCTTTCCCCCGCCCCGCCGTCCCAACCGACGCACTTCGATTCCGAACACCGCTTTCGCATTTTCCACTCTCATCACAGATCCACGGGATACGTGAAAATTTCGCATCAAGCGAGAGCTATTCGATAAACCGCTGCATTTCGTTCCCGTCGCTCCGAGCGACGGAGCTCGTTTTAATCTCGATCCCGGGCGTCGTTCTCTCGGATGCAGAGTCGCGCGTGTATCTCGAAAACCGAATACTGCTCGCGTATCCCGAGAAACTTGTTGTTTTCCGGATGAAAGTTTGGAAAACAGAAAACAGATTCGCGGAAGTACATACCGACCGATAGTTGACGGAATACCGTTGACGGTACTTACGAGATAGTGGATGAGGAGACCGATGGGATCGTAGCACATCGCACACAAAACCGGAGGAACCGAAACAGAACCAAGAGCGTCACTGTCACACCGAAACACACTGGCGAGGTCCGAGCCTCGTTGTTGTTGTTGTTGTATTCCCGTTGAGATTCCCGGGAACTCGAACGATGCCGAGACAGCAGGTATATAAGCACACACCCCGGTTGTGAGCAACTCTGGTCCGTCGCTGCACGTCCTGCCGACGGACGGCAGCTATGTTCAGCTGCGTTGCTCCCCGTACGGGGCCCTTTTCTCTGTCAAGTTTTCCGTCCAAAACAATTTTGCTTGTCGTTAAATTTCCACTCAAGGATCCCGTACAAAATATCGAATCACGCCGCGATCACGATTTACAAACGTATCACACTCCGCGGAATCGTGCGATCGTAGATATCTGTTAAGTTTCACACTTTAAGTTACACACTGAACGTAGCTGCGCGCGTTGAGCGCTGCCTCGTCACGGTTTACCCTGTCGTACAATAGTTGTTGTAAGTCTCCATGGCGAGGAGAGTCGCGGCGAGACGAACTGCAACGAGTTGACCCAACGACCGGCGGCGAGGATAACAGCAGACCGAGTGACACCCGTCGCGGCGGTTACGGTAGGGACGGGAACACGTAACGACTCATCCTCCACGACGGCGACCGAGAGACTGAGCAAGCGCAGGGGGTGCGAGAGCACCTATCCCCACTACGCCTGCCGAGCGGCGGCGGCGGCTTTCCCCACTACCGAGCGCGCGCTCGGCTCCGGTCGGTTCCCCTCGTCCCGCTCCGACTCGAGCTTCGAACCCGGCGCGCTGCGTCCCTCGCCCCACGACAACTTCAAGCCGCTCGGTGATGCTCTTTCTTCTCGCGTTTGCGGTATCGCGCGTTTTCCTTCTATTCTATCTCGCCCGTGTAAACGCGTTACGCGAAATTTTCGTCGCGGCTGACTCGGAAGTTGCATCGTTCACTGTATTCACGCAGAAGTTCGAATATCTTGTAGTAAATAAGTCCAACGCAACGGGATTTGTGCGATCGCGAAGATTTCTCACAATTCCGGTCCGCCTCGAACGGAAAGAATCGATTAATCTAAGCGGGAACGGCGGAAATGGAACACGAATCTTTTAGAGATAAGAAAATTCTAATCTTGTACACTGGTGATCTACACATATACATATATTAAAACACATTCCGAAATCTTATAATACTTATTAGTTTGCTCTTATACGAAACGTTAGCGTTTTATATCATAAACCATATACAAATATAATACGCGCGCGTACACACACACGTACGCCATTCACATACATTGCAGTAGATTCAACATGGCCGTCGCGCTCTTTTAACGTTAACTGTTATTGAAACTTAAAAGATAGCAATCTGGAAGTTGCGATAAAGTTAGAAATTGCACAATACCGCGAAGTTCGGAATATCGTTCTCGGCGAAATGACTGCATTCATAGTTACCGATATATCGCGCTTCGGGAGAGTGTATAATAGTCGCGGTTCTCGGCATTCAATGATTCGGTATCACATATCTACGCGATTTGCAACGCTTGGATTCGTGTCAGCTAGCTTTCGCCCGTTGAACTCCGCTTTCTCTAACTCGATCTCTGAAGAGATGACGTAAGTTTTGCAATTCTTATCACACTTTTTATCGCTGCACTTTCTACGTACGTGTACGTGAGAAAATTAACGATAACTTCGATGACTCTTTGTTTGCAGGAACGACTACAAGGTCACGACGCTCGAAAATCGGACAAACAAATTCGAACGACGTCATTCGTTGTTGTGCTGTCGGTTCGATATTTTTATCATCAGCAAACTTGTAAGTACTTTTATTTTTCTGAATTAAAAATGTAAAATGCTGCAAAAATAAATAGTGATACATATATGTATAAATAAACAGATGTAGATACGTATCAAAATTGTGCAAATCCAAGAACTTCGTATCAAGATATATGTACAAAAAAATATGAAAAAATTGTTCCGATATTTACATTACTTTGTATTTTTAATGGATTGTTTACGATAAAACACTATTTATTTTGTATATATTGTTCAGTTTGATACTGTACAATATTTTATCGTACGCACATGAAAAGTATTGTGTCGTGAAAATATTTGCTTTTCGTATGGATATGATATATCTTATTTAACGCTATCGCGGTTGCGTATTCGTAAATTTTCATTGTTTTGCAACCTCGCAATTATTAACACAGCACGTTTCAAAAAACACACTTCTTTACATTGAACAAAATAAACAAGTCGAGTTTCATTCTGTAATTAATGATTTTTGCCAGATAATAGACTAGTCTATCTTGGACAAATTTAAATTAGCGCTCATTTTCACGTAGTTTATGAGTTTGAAATTAATTTTTTTCTTTCACAAACAATTCAATGGACAATACAGGCTATTTCTCATTTTCCGATATTTGACATTCGTTTGTTTTTGCGACTGAATTTTAAATCGAGATTAATTGTGCAGCGCGATACGTTCTCTTCGTTAAATTAAAGGAAAAACGCATAGTCGGTATGAATAAGACTCGACTTGTTTGAAAGTGAATCATCTCGAATGTGAAATCAACAGTGAGAAATTAACGTTTTTTTTAATGACGAGCGGTATCTTTCCGATGATGAACAGTATGCTCGAGATACGATTTCCGCTAATTTACACTTCTGTTAACGAATCGTTAACGCGGCAACGGAAAGACGCGTTTTGTCTGTTGGTCCGTTCGTTTGCTGCCATATCAGGAAAATCGTTTAAACCGGCGCGTCCGCCTTCGCGTTTACAATAAATTACCGCGCGAGATGCAAGTGGCAGACGGGAAATTATCTACGACGAAGGAAAACAATCCAAGTGAGAGATCGCAAACTCTCTCTCTCTCTCGCGCACGTTTAAACGCACGTCTGTCTCGAAAATTGCGGAAAACATCAGGAAGTTTCCGTTGACGTGGTAGACACTCTTTTTTTCCCTCTCTCTCTCTCTCTCTCTCTCTCTCTCTCTCTCTCTCTCCACCTTCACTTTTCTCACCTTCACTTATTCAACCCTTGAGAGAGAAAGAGAGAGAACTAACAAAAGTTATCTTTGCTATCTTAACAGAGTACGAAATGATAATTTAGCAACCATTACATATAATGAATGAATGAAGAAAAGAGAGAGAAAGCGGAATAAAATTAGAGAAGTGTTTTCATAAGAATCATTTTAGAGACATTTTAAGGAGGAAAAAAATATCCTCTTGCGTGTAATTACGGAGTCCTCGTTGATATCAGGAATTTTAGTAGAAATCCTCGCGATTCTCTCTCCGTTACGCAGAACAAAATTATAATACGTATTACTCTGTCTACTCTTCGGAAAGGAAGCGATTTCTAGTGTGCAAATTCCCGTTCTGCTGCAAATCTGATATAACGCATGAATGCACGCGTGTAACGTGCACGCTAATAACTTTATGATCGCGTTACATGCTTCGCGTTGCGATACAACCATATCCGCGACGGACCAATAGAGCCTCGCAATTATTTCGCGTCCCTTTTAGTCGCTTGATTTTTCGAACAATGCAAATCTTAGCATTACCACGTTGCGCCATCAATTATTGTTACCGAAACAGTTGCAATTTTGCACGCGCGCGCACATAGAAGAAAGAAACAACATGAGATTTTTATCACAACAATAGTGAGAAATTCTAAACTGTTATTTGTCGAAAACAGAGATTCCGATTTATAACGAGATACGGTACGAACTTTAATTAGATTTTATCTTGTTAGTCGTTACGGATTTTATATTCTCCTCTCTTGCGCTGTATACTCTCAAATTAAATTGTTCCAAATTGGGTTTTGTTTTTAAACATCTTTTGCATACACACGCGCGCGCGCGCGCGCACACATACACACACACACACACACAACAAGTAATAGCGACAAGCTTTATTTTCACATCGTAGAAGATGTGAGTTTCCGGAGTATATTATCCGGAAAATACCGACGCAGAGACTGTAAAGACGACGCTATATAGGCGTCGCATACTTCGCCTCCCGTAATTCGAATAAAGATGAACCGCCCCGATGAGCGCGCGTCGAGCGGTTTACGATGCATCGTGATCCGCGCGTTTCGGAGTTTCCAAAATCGCGCGCGCGACAAGGCGAACTCGTAAAGTCCATGCGGAAACCGCAACGGAGGCGCGAGATGTATCGCAGCCACCCCTAAAGTTCATTCAACGGTATCTCCTAGCTGGAATCAACCACGAACAAAAGAGCTCATCACCCTCTACACGAGGGTATCGCATAAACAACGCAGATCGCGATCTACATCGCGGAAGGAGAAACGGGTCGTCCTTTCGTCGTTGAGGTGTGTTTCGAGAGCGAGTCCACAAAAGAGAGACGCTCTCGAGCGCGGTCGGCTCCCTTCCTTGTGTTCTCTCTCTCTCTCTCTATTTCTCTCTCCTTTTCTTCGCCCTCGCTAATCCCAAAAGTCCATAAATACTGAATAGGAGGTTTATTCTCCGAAGAGTCGTTTGCAAGATCGCAGTTGTTACCTCGTGACACGGTGTCGCGATGACGCTTTAATCCACCGGCGGCTCCGGAGAACGAACGCCGCTCCGAAACGTCGCGCGGAATTTGTGGCGTCGTTTCGCACGGCCGATAACGCCTCGATAACCGCGCTCGCCGCGCGATGAATCACGAGAGCAACTCGAGTCCTTTAGGAATTCAAGTTCTCCTTGCCGGATAAACTTTAAACGAAAGTCAAACGCGAACGGAGAAACGCAAATTATATATGTTTTGGAAGAGAGGGAGAGAGAGAGAGAGAGGGAAATTCACTCTCTCAAAGTTTTGAGAGTATTGTGAGAAAACTGGTTTCTCTGGCATAGAGACGCGCACTTTTAAAATTCATAGAACATATTGAAGATCGTGTTTCGTTCCGCTAAAAGAGAGTAGTATCTTGCACGTGTTTCATGTTCTAAAAATCAAATAGAAAATACTTAATAGGAAACAGAAAAATAAAAATAGAGAACCTAAAAGCGTAAAGAAATATTTTCTTCTATGCCACTTAGAATGTATTATGTTTTCAAAGGAAACCCGTGAACTGCTGCAAGATGAAATCTCTATTAACGATACCCTTGTGCGTATACAAATTCTTGTCGTGTGTCCGCAATGATACGCCATTGTTGTCTAAATTAACCGAACAACCAAATTCCTGTCACGGTCCTATCCTCGGTCGTTCGTATGCCCGTTTTATCCCGTTTTCATCTCGGTGTAAACGATTCGTACCGGCGATTTCGGACAACACCCGGCCCGGTGGCAAAACGTCAACAGTCCGGGGGAAAGCAACGTAAACCCGGGGACGCAGAAAACGCTCGTGTGTCGTGTTCCCTGTAGCGTGCTTCACAGTTCACGAGATCACGACAATCGACCGGCGCGTTACAGTCAGTTCCGCAGCATTAGGGCAGCTGGTGATCCGTTCGGGATTCCAAGTATACTCGAAAAGGACGAAAGAACGAAGGGACGGAGAGGAGCGAGCGGGGGCGGAGGGACTGTAGGTGGCCTATTGTCGAAACCCGAAGTCCGCATTCTCCTTTAACCCTCCGTGCCGCCATTGACTGTCTCACGACTTCATGCCGACTGCCAGAGAAAACGAGCGGGAGCTCGCTCGATTCG